GAAAACAACCCTTTCGCGATCCGGAGACCCTGCCGCGGGAATATTCGCGAATCGGTGATTCTACGTCCACCAATGGCTTCGTATTCTCGCTTTAAAACTTGGTGCATTTTACAGAACGCGTCAACAATTTATTTATTTACTCGTATGTTGTCTCGACGAAGTTGCAAATTAAGGCACAGTTCTAGCGTGATAGACTACCTCTTTCCATTTTTAGAATCATTTATTAATGACAAATCGTATCGTAGTAACAGTTGTTCCACGACATTTTCACGGAACTATTCGAATAGATGAAAGTGTTGATTCTATAAATAAAAATTGCCAAGTTATTTGTAATGGTTCGTTTATTAAAAGGGTGTTTACGGAGCATACGAACGCCCCCGACAGGTTAATAAACGCCATCTATCGAAAGCAACGAGAAGACAGTCCCGACCTAACGATTCACACCGCGACGCGGATCTCTTCTTTCGCGGGAATTTTTTTTATGCGTTCTCCGCGATACTCGGAGGGGTGAGTTTCCCTACAACCCGTTTATTCCATCGAGCGTAATTGGGGCTCCTTGAACCGCGAAGTAAACGATAAGATTGGGTGCTCGAAGGAAGAACTTTCGAAACTTCTCTGCTGTATCGTTATAGAATAAAAAATGATAATAACTTGCTGTTCCTTCTGATTATCGAGTATAATCCAAAAGTAGATAAGTTACAATTTGTTAGAACACCCTGAGGTCTTCGAGGCGCGAAAGAAGCGCGGTCCAGGGTTATTTTTCCGTCGCGTTTCGTAGCCAGTGGCGAGAAGGGTGCGAGCTATCGAGAAGGGGAGGACGTTGGCGCGGCGGCGTGGGGGGTTGGCGGGTAAAAAGAGAACGGGACGAATGAAAAGCTTCGAGCTTGCGGTAAACATCGAGCGTGTAATTCGCTCTTTAAAGAACACTTGGACGATAATTAAGCCGGCGTGGGGTGCGCTCCGGAGACAAGGGAAGGGGGTTGGAAGGAACCCCGGAGCAACGAGGAGGACGCGATAGAGAGGGACAGGGCGCAGCGGAACGGTGGGTTACGGGCACCGTTGAAAAGATCTTTTTCCGTTTATTTTTCGTGACCATGGCTCGGAAAGACACGTGGTCTGATTTTAATTAGCACCGGGGCGCACTTCCAGCGCGCGCAGCCACGGATGGAGAATCTCGGGCTTAGAATTCACCTGCCACCGTTTCATCCCCCTCCCGGCTTCCCACACCCCCGTGTCCCCGAGCCTCGTTTTGCTTCCTTTTCTCATGGTCGCTGGCTCACCCCCCTACACCCCCCCTCCCCCCTTCCCCCCGCCCCGTAGCGCGACGTTACCCTTTCTTCGGCTGTGTTCTCGCGCTCGGTCAAGAGGGTTAATCCGACAGCGAAATTCTCGTTTCCCCAGTCGAGAGAGGGACGCGAGGAGTTTCGACTGACGTTAATTCGAGCTCGTCGTTACGGGTTACCGGCGACGCCGTCGGAATTTCAGCCCATTATACGATCGCGGAATTTTTATTTCGGAATCGGCGAACGTTTTCGACCAATTTTTTCTAGCACCCTCGCCGGGCACATCCGCGAAATTAATCGACGACGATGAAATACACGGAACGGCGGCTGGTAATTTCGTAAGAGAAAACGAGCTAAAGATTGGGGGACCGTTTTTTAAGCAATGCCACGTTGGAAATTCGTGACTCGTCCGACCATTATTTGGGATTTCTACTTGCATTTAATGTTCGTGGGTCTGGGTTTGGTTATTATTTGTTTTGACTGATCGTAACTCTTTAGGAAATTGTAATATCGGTAGAAAATGAGTGATTGTATGCCTGGACTTAATATTGACATAAACACAAGTGGAAATGACTAGCCATGGTCGGACAAATTTCTCGAAAGCAAAGCGTAGATTGAAAAACTTTATCATTCACTTTCTATTCGTTTTTTGGCGTAGAATAAACATACTAACTCTTCATCGATCACTAAGCACACTCCTTGTCTAGCAGGGCTGACTATTATTAGATATTTCTACTTGCGGTGAGAGTTCGTAGGCGTTGATGTTTGTCTGAGTTTAATATTATTTGTCTCGATCGATTGTAACTGTGTAAGATATTTAAATATCGATGAAAAATGAGTGATGCTGTGTCACGACTTAATATTTATATCAACACAAGTAGAAATGACGAGCTATGGTCGGACAGATTTCTTCTGCTATCAAAGACGAGAAGATACGTTAAAATCAAGTAAATAGTTTTTGATTTTAATAAAATTATTATTAGACTATGATTCCAGACTACGTTTTAACCAACCCTACACCCCGCTGGCAGATTAATAAGTAATATTACAGGCTGGCTCGCGACACGCGAAAAGCGATCTGTCTCCGGTACCCGGGAACTTGGCACACTTGCCAGCGTAAAGTCGAGGCGAATGGAGTGAAAAAAAGCCTCAAATATTGAACTTCCGTTGCCCCGCGCTCCTCGTGTTTCCCTAAAGAGTTTGCCTCATTAATTAATACCGCGGGGAAATATCGTAATTTCTCGGATCTTGCTCGTGATTTCTCGGGTCACTCCGCCACTTTAGACCCGTCGCGGCGATCTGTTTCAAAAACACCATCCTACGCAACGAAAATTGTTATTGGAACAACTTTTAGAAGTAACGTACGAACACGAAGTCCCAAATAAAATCCGACTATAATATTCTTCCCTCGTAAACTCGTAACGATTTAATAATAATAAAAATCACAAGGGATACATCACGAGGCAGCCAGAGATTCGCTGTACTCGAACGACCATAAAATATTCAAATACTAAATTATTCGAGCGCTCCCAACAGCGCGTCGTACGCGAAAAAATACGGAAAGGAGGGGGTTGAAAACACCACGAAGAACAGAGGAGGGGGGGTATCGTCGAACAGAAATCGACACCGTATTCAGAATCGAATAACGTCGAGTATCAAAGTGCGTGAGCAAATTGCATCCGTCTCGTTCCCTCGTCGAGGTGAAAAGGAAAACAAAAGGGTGACGACTCCCGGTGGCTTTTCTTCCCCCATTTTTTTTTTTTCTCCTCCAAGCGGGGGCGGTCGAAGTGACGGCAGGGGCTGGGAATCGTCGCGCTCACCGACGTTTTATACGTCGTCGGGTTTCATGCGGCGGCGGTAATTTTTTTATTAGCTTGAAAACCACTCGACTCGTCGTCGTCGACGTCGCCCGGCGTCGCCGCTGTCGTTGTCGCCGTCGTCGTCGTCGGTTGGTAGTCGGTGAGACTCGCCACCCCCCCCCCCCTCCCCCCGTAGGGGCTAAAAGAGAAAAAAGAAGAAGAAAAAAATCGTTCGTCCCTCTCTGTCCACGTAACCCGCAGTTCTTCTCTCTCGTCGTTCCCTGGCGCCCCTTCGCCCTTCGCTGTCGACCACCACCCCCCAACCAGCGCTCTCAGCCGTCGAACAGTCAAAAGAACCACGCGTTCATTTGCCTTATTAAGTAGTTTTGTACGAATTAAGAGCGTGTCGCTTTGTCGACGCTCGCCCTCGCCATTGTTCTCCTCCTCGCGAGCTTATTCCGCTTGATTCTGGCAAGAAGTGCCGCTGCTGACGGTCTGAGAAACCTTGGGAAAGTCTCTGGCGGGACGGCTTCTTTTTCCAGGCCACGCGGGCTCTACGCGTGCTTTTAAGGGTTGCTCGTCACCCCGATCGTTTGTCCTACCTTGTTTCTTAACGCGAAAGCCATTTAAATCACACAGGTTTAACTTTTCGACGATCGAATTTAGAATCGACTTTCAAATCGTTTTATATTTACTTAAATACGCGGAGAGTTTAAAATTATTTTAAATTCGACACACTCTTGATCTTCAATTTTCTATTTTATTTTCTGCCGCGAGTTCATATTTTATCCTTCATTTTGGCCACTTGTACCATCATCGTTATTGGATTTCAGCGAGTTTATTATAATCTTGAATCAAAATGAACCCGTGCTTAAGTCCAATATGATTATGAAGACGAGGCGATCGAATCAAGATTTTATTTTCTATTTTATCTTTGCAGAGTTTTATAAGTTCTAACTATTCTACTGCTCGTTGCACAACGAAGCTCATATTATCGACGAATTACCGAAAGGAAAATAAAATTTATTTCCTGGAAAAGTAAATAATACTCCCGTACTCGGAAAGGCTCAGTACTGCAAACTACGATACGGAACGACGAAGAGAAAGCAGAAGATTTCCATTTCCTTTTTCTTCGAGAGACGTTTGTCGTCATTTAAAGCGCACCGTGTATTCATAAGCGAACACTTTGTCAACCGGAAGAATGCCTACGGTGCACGCGTTTCCGCAGTTCATTATAATGAGCGGCGCGTGCACGCGAAACAAGTTTATTGCCCTTTAAGAGTTTCTGAGCACCCCGGGAACCGGAAAGGGGTTGCTACGAAGTCTTAAGTTCTTAATACCGTCACCTGTGGGTAAAAGTATTTCAATTTTACTTTGACCCGACGCACGTGGATCCAGTTCATACGCGCTTATGCTCGATAAAAAGAACAAGCCTCTCAAAGTCGTGCACTTAAAATAATTACAAAATAGAATTTCCTCGGAGAATATTATTCGAGCTTGGCAAATGTTTTTAACGTGAAGATTATCATCGTACGAATTAGAGGTCGAAACGTTTGGAATGAAACGGAGGTTTCTGAATTTAAAATAATAAATTAAAATGATATTGATAAATGGATCCCCCCGGAAGGAAAGAAGTCTCCGTCAGTTTGACTCGACGGAGGATCGCCGGTAAATTTGTTTAAGCCTCGATATTTAAAGCGAACGATAACGTATCGCCGTATCGATACGACGGGCACAGAGAAGCCACCCTCGAGCCCGTTCGGCATTAATGCAAAAGAAGCCCTTACCTCCCGTGCTCGCAATCACCGACATAAATAAATCGACCTCACCGTCTATTTCTCCCCGTCGGCCCAGAATCCCTGTATTCGATCAGGCATCGAAATACGTCGGCATAAAAAGGAGAAGGAGACCGTTCGAGGAGAACCGATTGTTCCACTCCTGCAGATCGGATCTGTCGTTAAGCCACGCTTACTCTCTGCCAATCCCACGGACGATCTGTAATCAGAACGACGTCCGCGATTTATTCGAGGCGATTTTATCGCTGATACACCATCGAGCAATATGGCGGGGCATTATCAACGACAGCCTGCTCAGACGTCCAATTTTCACTGTTCAAACCCTCGTGCAGCCACGAAACGGGGGTATCGTGTTCTTTAATACATGGATCGATTTTTTAATTAAAAATATCAAAGATGTTACCTTGTAAATGGAACAAATATTTATGTAACACGATATAAGCGAAAAAGATTCGTACTTTCTGAATTTAGTCCATCATAGGTCGGACTTGCTCGAAGGGAATACCATTTGCTTCCAATTTTCTAGTCTTGGCTACCCTGTAAATGAAACAAATATTTATGCAACATGATATAAATAAAGAAGATTCGAAGTTTCTGAATTTGGTGTACCATAAGTGAAACTTGCTCAACATAGACGCCATTTGTTGACCTCGTTCCGAAGTTGTTTACCCTGTAAATAAAAATATTTATGTAACACGATACAAGGGGGAAAGTTGTTTCTGTTATTAATTATTCCTGCTTGCTCGAGGAGAACGCTATTTGTTTCGAATTTTCCAACCTTGGTGGTTCGTTTTCTTTTTTAAGGCGGTATCGATTGCGGGTCGCGAAAGCGAGAGTGTCGGTAGGAGCCTAAGCGATAATTCATCCGAAGGCGCGAGGCCAAAGTAACGAACATAAATTTTTGTCCAAGGGCGCATCGCGGAGAAAACTTGGCAACTCTCGCCGGTGGCTGGAAACGGGGGCGGTTCAACGGCGGACGCTTAAACACTGGCTCCGTCGTTAGTCTACGAGCCATTAACTAAATTATGTAAGCCTCCGCGAAGACCTCCGGCACCGGAGGTAGCGTAAACTTTAACCGTCTGCTCCTGAATCAGGGCCGATCAAATTGTTTTTCACCTCTTTCATGGCCTCCGCCCGTCGAGGAGCGCCCTTTCCAACTTTTATTACTGCGCTTTCAAGATTCCTGACGGAAAGCAACCGACGGGGAGCTAGGGGAGGAACAGTGCGTCTAGTGGCACTCGGTCCGATCGAACAAAAATGCAACGAGGTAAAAAGAGCCTCGATCGAATACTCGACGACCCTCGTAATGGAAAATAAAATATTAATAATTGGAGGCTCGCGCGCCTAGCACGGAAAGACAAAGATCCATTTTGGGATCTTCTTTGGAAATGTATATTTAAAATCGTTATCTGTAGAAGCTGGTGCTCGCTGTTTTCGTTATAAATATTGCTTATGATTCGTGTTGAATCTCTGTTGTCAGATTAACCCCTTGACGTACGATTTAATGTAATTTGTCAAATATATACTATTTAATTTTGTTTAAACTTGTTCGTACAAGGAATGGCCATGATTTTTTTTTACGAATACTTCGAAAAATGTGTTGATTTTAATATATAAGACTTGACGAGTAGCCTTATGATCGTGAAACTTGAAATCAAGAACTTATAACGAATCAGACTCGTCATTGTAAGGTAAGGGGTTAAGGATGACGAAGAAGCTTGATTGAGGCTGTAAACCGTGCTTTCCTTTGGAACGTTAACAAAATTTTAGTGACTTTATCGCATCGGCGACATTTTGTGAGAACTGATTGGTTGGAATTTACCAGTGTTTATATCGTAGATGTATATTTTCCATGGTGGCATTTAGGTTCGATTACGATACTCCGGTCAAGGGAGGGGCGGTCTGAGCGAGGAGGATCGCGAAGAGGGTCGTTATCGTAGCCTCGCGACTTAACTCCCAGCAATTAATCTCCCCGCGCTAATTATTTAGCCGGTTAGCAGGAGTTCCGTGCGGCCGAACGTAGTTCCGTTATCAGATGTAGTAGGGGTCGTTCGAGAGGGATCGCGAACGGGTCCGGGAGGAAGCTGCGAGAGGATGGAAGCTCGACGCGAAATGGGGTGGCGGGAGAGCGCGCGCGGTTGAGGTTCAGTCGTGCTCAGGAGGATACACGAGGGGTTGAGGCTCGCGCAAGAGTAAATTGATTAGAATTAAAGGGTTGGCTGGCAGGTGCTGCTGCCGGGTTACTACGGACCGTAAGAGAGAAAGGTCGAGAGAGAGAGACAGAGAGGGAGAGAGAGAGAGAGGTACCGTACAGAGAACACGGAACGGAGTGACGAGGGAGGAAGGGAGCGAGGGTACAACGGTGACCACAGCCTCGACGCTGATTGGTCGAGTCAAGTTTGTGGCAAGATGGCTGGCTGCCGCCGCCGCCGCCGTTCCTGCTGCTCTCTGCCTCCGTCTCGTTCCCTCTTCCTCCAACCCTCTCTCGTCCTTCCGCATCCCGTGCTCCAGCTTCTTCTCCAGTTCACCTCAACCTCTTGCCTCGTCCTCAGGCTCCCTCCCGTCGTAGTTCCCTTCTACGCGGTCTCTAAGATGCTTTATCTATGTGCCAAATAGATGTATGTACGTGTACACGCCTGTTCGAAACAATGCCGGGCGTGCAACCACCCACCCGACCCACACCCTCGCCAGCCAGCCACCCTTTCTGCGAGCACCGCACCATCTACCTCTTACCACCCACGACACCCCCTGGCCCCCTGTCCTTCTCCTTGCCCTATCATCCCTTGCGTGCTCTCTCGCCTCAACCCTTACCACCACCTACGTTCCACCCGACCACCCCCGTCGACATCGTCACCGTTTCTGCCAACGGTTCTCCGGGACCATCCTCCCCGCGTTCGTCCCTCGCGTACCTTTCGTTCACCCTCTCCGTCTCGCCCCCTGTCACCGTTGCGTCCTATTTCCATCGTCGTCCCCTCGCACCCCCCCTCCTCTAACCCGCCGGATGCTCGGCCCGTGGCCCCCTACCCCTCCCCCGGCCCACCCCCTCCTGATCCAGCCGAGCCCACGGATGCGAGAATACCGAGCCGGCCTCAAAGAGAATGCGATAATACGAAGAACTTCGACTAATGAGTTAATAGTTGGTGCCTCGCGTTACCGTCACACCGCGGGTACTTTATTCGACGTCGCCCCGAGCAACGAGATTATAACGCGACGAGAGGACTGCGGTGGTGTGGGACGCTGCGGGGGTTGTGTGTGCACGAGCACGCGCGAGCACAGGTACCGAGAAAAGTCATTCGACGCGGATAATCGCCACCCACCCCTGCCCCCCCTAGCAGTTTGTTTTTACTTTCGTCGTGCACGACGGTCACGCTCTTCTGAATTTTACCACCGCCTGGCGGGGAAATTGTTTTCGGATAGTTCGACTTAAAAAGTTGAGAAGATTTCAATGGCTGGAATTCCTGTTTCGGAGGAGCGTTCGTTTTTATTTATCGACGAGTAAAAAAATATTTACGGAAAAACCGGGTCGGTGAGATACGGATACTTTGAGCAGGGAACCGCTCGCGGCCACAAACGAGTTAATCCACGGCCAAGGATTCTCTACAGCCCCCCTCCCCTCCTCCCCCTGAGGGGCGACGCGACGCTTTTAAAACAACTGGCACCGATAGCTGCGAGAAGGGTCGTTCTCGAATTTACATTTCTAATCGCGGCTAAGGAACGCCGCGTTATGGAAATAGCAAAAATAAACGGCGCGATATCAGCATATCAAACGGCCTCTTTGAGCGCTCGGGGAGCGTGTCTCCCCGACAGCCGCGGGGCGCTTTTTAAACCGCGGCGCGGAGAAAATCTCGGGAGCCTCGAGTGTGTCGATTCGTCCGGGAACGGACGCGGGAACCGCGATAAAAAGAACAGGCCGCCGCGTCGACGAGAGAAAAAAAAAAAGTGCAACCAATAATTTTATTTGCCGCGATAAAGCACGGCGTCGCGAGCGCGCGGAGGCGCGCGGGGGCGGGTAAAGGCTGGTCGCAGGCCCCCGCCGTATCTTTAGTAAGTAAACAGAGCGTCTTATGAATTTTAAGCAGCGCCCGGAAACTACGAGCCGCTTCTTCTTCTTCTTCTTCTTCTTCTTCCGGGCTGACCTCCTTTCTTATCCATCTTTTGCCACCCCTTTCGTCAACGTTTGCCTTCGTTCCTTCCCGCCGAGCTCCTACCCTCTTGGCTCCCCGTTTCCTCGCCTTTAACACCGGCTAATCCGATACAAAAAAGAGGGCAACGCAATTTGGAAAAGTGGATACGCGATCGTGTTACTTTTCGAACGTTTAACCCCTTCGCTCGAAAACGATTTAATTCCAAAGTATTCGACGCGTGTAAAAATAATAATAGTTTTTTTTGTTAGAAGCCTCGACCTTACTTTTGCCTTACTTTTCGTGAGAGTGGACGGTCATGCGGCGTTGTTTTGATATTGATCTCCGGATACAACACCGTCTAAGCATTCTAATGGCAAGGGACCAGGATTCTGCGCGCTGCCAGGCGCACGTGTTTCTAATGATTTTAGTGGTACCGAGGTATACCTCTGCAACGTATAGTTATAGCCGACTGCGAACACGTATTACATCCACTCTGCCGGGGCACCGTGTAATATGTCGGAATTGCGGAAAGGGGTAACGCGAGTTGGAGAGCGGAGAGGGCCCGCGAGGACGGTCTTGTGGGATTCTTAATGGCGAAAGGCCTCCGAGGTAACACTACGGCTATTAAACGCAGACCCCGCTAGTCTGTCTCGCGTTCTCTCTCGCGCCAACCACCACGACGATGCTCGTTCTCTCTCTCGTCGCTCCTGCGTAAATGGGGTAGTTTCTTACTTTCGCGGTGTGCATAGAAATTTAATAACGACGAGGGTCTCGATCGCGCGGCAAATATTTCTGTTGCGTCGCGTTACAAAAATCCCCGTTTAAATTGTTCCGAGTCGGTGAGACGCAATTTCGGGTTGCCCCAGTGGTCTACGAACTTCACGAAGAGCTACCAATCCCGAAAGAAAAATAACGAAGACGAGTTTGATGAGAGAGAGGACATACGAGCAGTGAACAGGACAATTTTCCACGCTTGTAAGGGTTAAAAATTCCAAAATATAAAAGAACCGTGCGGATCAACAGCGTCTCGTCCCTCGCGCGAGACGATAAATCAACGTTAAACTCCACGCGCGGTGTCTCGTAATCGCAATTAAAGGGCCGCGTTTAAGAAAGGGAAAAGAAGCAGGGAGTGGGGAGTGGGGAGAGGCAGGAGATCCCGAAAGCAGGATAAGTAACGAAAATGTAAGCCCGGATCAACCGCGCTCATCCCCTTTGGCGTTTGGCGTTTGACGCGACCGCTGAAATTTTTACTTGGTTCGATTTGGTCTTTCAGGGATTCCCCGTCCTCTGATTGGTGGACTCTGGCCACGCCCTGCATATAAGGGTGGCTTGCCCGCCCGAGCACTATCAACCCTTATGTATGCCCGATGCGAGTACACTTATGTGCCGGTACATATGTAAGGGTGCAGATTTCGCGCGTACATATATCCACGGGGCGATGGTACATAGGCGTAGGAAACGTGTGTACCGGGTGGGGCTCGGCAGGACTGCGGATAGCAGCGGGCGAACTCTCGATACGACACGGTCGATCGAACCAGTCGTAATTTTAGCATCGTGCTGTTATCTAAAAATGAACGGCTCGCTATCGGTTGCTATTCTTTTACGCGAAACGCTATGCAGGATCGCGTGCGTGGAGCTGGGAACTGCGAACGGCCGTACAACAGTTTTATTAGCGTCGCTACTCGTTGATAAACGTATTGCGTTTAAGGGGACATTCTGGAATATTTTCTTTTACTGGTATTTAAATTTATTGTTTGTAACACGTTACGAATAAAAATAAAAATATTTCTCCCAAGGAAATAATATTGAACGCACTCGTGAATAGTCGTTCCTTATTTTCTAGAATGTAATTAGCTCTTATTCGGTTTGAAATAATTCCACTCCGGGGTATATACTAATTTTGAATAACTATGGAACTTGTAGAATAAACTTTTTAATAAATAGCGCTACAAATTGCGCACGGTGTTTCGAGTATATCTTTATAATACGGCTCAAATGTACGCGAAAATTACGTAATCTCTCGGCGCTGGACCGTTTCGCGCGGAATTGAATAGAATAACGCGTCACTTCAGAGGAAAAGAATATTTCTATGCAGAGAACATTTTCTACGAAATGTACACTACCGAGGAGAACGCGGAAAGAAACTTAGTCCGCCCTGCTGATATTACTATTTTATACTAGACGAAGTAGAATAAGATGTCGCCTAAAATTGTCTCCGTGGGTAACTAAAATAGCTTCGCGTTACAATCCTGAAAGTCACGGCTACGAAGACAGTGCCTGGGAACTACATGAAATACACGCCGGAAGAGACGTTACATTAAATTCACATCTTTCGAAATGATACGGGGTTTCAGAATTAATTGCGTGCAAATGCGAACACCTTTCACGACACGTCGTGTAACCCTCGTTCCCCGACTGTGTATTTGAATTATTCTTACTTAATCATATCCCACACGGTACTCGACGTCCCATCGTATTACTAAAGGGAAACTTTATTTCATACTGTGTACGGGCACGAACTAGTACCTCGTTTTCCTTCTGCATCCGTCAGCTGCATTTAAGGACGAGTTCTGGTTTAGCGGGTAATAATAAAATCAGTCGTTTTCAAAAACGAATTACGAATGATAGTACTAGAATTATTTAAAGAAACATAATATTAAAACTATCTAGTAAATTACAATCGATAGAGAAACTAGTCTACTATACTCTGTTTTGTTGTCATATAAATAAATCACCTGCAACCACACTATCAAGATCGAATTTTTATTATCAGAATGTGAACGAGTAAAAACAACAATTAAAACGTTTTTCGTGAAAATAAAGAATATCTATCCTCAATTTTTAGCCCCAAACGTTTGTAATGGTACGTAAACCATTGTTTTCAACGTTTCGATGCTTTGTTATTCAACGATACGCGTTCGAAACTTTCGCGGATTCCACGATTAGTTCGATAGTCGACTCTCGCCTATCGATATGGCTGACTTCGATTGTGCGGGAAGCCTTTTGAATTAGTTCCTCGTAAATGATAGGTAGTGGTGGGGCGCTCGCGTCAGTGCCGTGAGAGCTTCAAAACAAGGTTGTGTTTGGTGGCAAGTTTCTTGATTTAGGATTGATATGATCGAGGAACACGACGAACGCGAAACAATATGCGATTCAGTGGTAAGTGGCGCGATTCGCTGAATGTGACAGCGCTAATATCTCCCGAGATAGAGACCGACAAGGGCGAATACGAGGGTATTATCAAATTCTAACCTCACTTTCAGAATTCATTGGTGGAAGGATGCCGTTTACCGGTTAGAATGCACGGCACAGACGATTGGCGTAAGTAACACGTTCGTTTTAGCAGTCGTTCTACTTTGGACGGTGCCGCAATATTTTTTCTTCAAGATACGTGCACGATCTCGTATCAGAAAAATCGCCCGATAAGTGTGTCACTGAATCACATTATCCGACCGTTCTTCGTACACACAGACCTTTCATTCGCGTAATATTATCACAGTAGCATCCCTGAAATCAGAAATATAGTCGATAAAATGTTCCCAGTACTCGTTATCCACGTACTACGATTCACTTAGTTTTAGGTTATGCTTAGATAACTCGGACATCGACAGTACGCGTACATATTTTAATCTAGAAACCTAAGAACGACAAGGACTTGTCAAAAGTTTCCTTTTATCATTTACAGCTCTTGCTGAAATCATCAGTGTTAAAGATGTACACGGTGTCAAGTGTTATTATGTTCACTACGTAGATTGTAAGTATATTACGGCTTGCTTGAAAAGAAAGGAGTTACGTATCTGCGTAAGCAACAATTTAATCAAATCTACAAAATTTTAGTTAATAAACGATTAGATGAGTGGGTTACGGAAGATTGTTTGGACACTAGGAAAGTTCAATATCCTCGCAAAGATGGAACTGCGCCTGGTACAGATGCAGCAGCCACCCCGAAAAAACAAGCGCCTAGTAGACCTCCTAGTCCTAGCAGTCTTAGCAACGAACCGGTCAATGGTTCTGCGGTGTTACAGGCAGCGTTGCAAAAGAAAATGTCTAGAAAGAGAAAGTCCGCATTTATCGAGAACGAGGACTCTCAGGATGGTCCGCCCCAAACACCAGGTCCGAGGCCGACCGGTTCACTGGTCGCTCATCATCACGATGATATTGTTACGAGAATGAAAAATGTCGAATTGATAGAGTTGGGTCGTCATAGAATAAGACCTTGGTATTTTAGTCCATATCCACAAGAAATGGTGAACTTATCATGTATATATATTTGTGAATTTTGCCTAAAATATAGAAAGAGTCGAAAGTGTTTGGAGAGGCACCTCGTGAAGTGCAATTTACGGCATCCTCCTGGCAACGAAATATATAGGAAAGGATCGATATCGTTTTTTGAGATCGACGGCCGAAAAAATAAGAATTACGCACAAAATCTTTGTCTACTAGCAAAATTATTCTTGGATCATAAAACTCTATATTATGATACAGATCCCTTTTTATTCTACGTAATGACCGATTTTGATAGCAGGGGGTTCCACATAGTTGGTTACTTCTCGAAAGAGAAGGAATCAACGGAGGATCATAACGTAGCGTGCATCCTTACACTACCACCGTATCAGAGGAGAGGTTACGGGAAATTGTTGATAGAATTTTCTTACGAACTTTCGAAATTCGAGGGGAAAACAGGTTCGCCTGAAAAACCGTTGTCCGATCTGGGATTGCTGTCGTATAGGAGTTACTGGGCGCACACGATACTGGACATTTTATTGAACATAAAACCGTTAGTAGAAAACGAGAAACCTCAGATTACGATAAGTGAAATATGTGAACTGACGTCGATTAAGAAAGAAGACGTGATATCGACGCTACAGAATTTGAATCTCATTAATTACTACAAAGGACAATATATTGTGACGTTAAATAGGTAATTGGCTAAATGGTCAATGCATCGTTAGAGAACGAATCGAGCCGAATTTATACGGAAATTTAGTTTCTTTCTGTAGGAAGGATTACCTCGGAACCTCACTGACAAACGTATTTATTCGCAGGGATATAATCGAGCAACACGCGGCCGCAATGGAAAAGAGGCAGATCAGAATAGATCCCAAGTGTCTTCATTGGACACCGAAAGACTGGAGTGTTAGGGCTAAATGGTGAAGTGATGTTAAAATTGACAATAAGACGATGCTAATTTGTCTCGAAATTATTTTCAGGAACCCTGGAAGTGACTACGTGCGATTAGCGAGTGTACAAAGCTGTACATAACATTTCAGACCGTTACGGTCCGAGTTTTTAATAAGACTGTGTCGGGGCTTTGCACGTAACTGCAATGGTCTAAAAAAAAAAAGAAACAATTTCACGAAAGCACGCGTGTCTCGGTTTACGAGTTGGACCCATCGACGAACCGTGATTAGCGAGGTTTACGTGACACTGTATCCGTTAACGCTGGCTTACGACTAGAGTCAGAAGCGATGTTTTAATATGGTGACTAGGATTTTTTAATAAGTACGCATACGTCTTTGCGATTAACACGATTTGTACAGGTACTACTAAAACTACGGTCTTGTAGAATTGTAAATAAATCTGATTTTATAACGTGCGCATCATTCTACGCAAACACGAACGCGGTCTAGTTTTTAAAATAATAATCCGACCTCGAACGACAGCTTGTAATGGTTCGTGTCGTTTTTACATTCGACAAACGTAATCCGACACTTCCGAATGGAATTTAGTACAACGTAGAAGTTGTGTGCACAACATTGTTCGCGCAACGTGTGCACACACCTTTACCGCATTAGCCATTATTCAAATTCGCGTGCACGTGTACCGATGACGGATTGTAATCGAGACATTGGTGACGGAAATAGAAACGCAAAGGAACAAAAAAAAAAAAAAAAAAAAAAAAAAGAACGTGTCAAAATAATCGGACGTTACTAATCTCGTCGAGCTTTCGTTTGGCGTTCTGTTATCAACGGCTGTGCTTAAATCGAGCTCGATAACGCTCGATATAAATAAAATCCGTCAACCTGATTTCACGATTGTTCAACCAAAATGATTAAGAGTTACCTATGAACTGCGAAATAAAAATTGATATTTTTCTCTGAAAGTGTGTATTTTTGATAACGCCGAACGATATACCGTTTGCTGAACTTTCACTCTCAGACCAGAAAGAAATATACAAAAAAGACACAAATATATAATAGACAATCGATTTTTTTTCTTTTATAATTCACTCATTCTCTTCGCACCGAAGAAGGAACAAATGAGGAAACTCTCGAGACGATTTTTAAATACAGCATCTTTTATGTATATATATATATATATATATTTTTTTTTTTATATTCAACAGTAACATCACAGTAGCTTCATATACAATAAATGTTCATAATTTCATCTGCTTTTTGTATTCGTTACCACGCAAGCGTGACACGGCGAGTCCCGAATTTGTCGCTAATTTACAAAATTCGCTAGGTTTTTCCGCGCGTCGGCAGAGGGACGAAGGAGAGAGAACCGTGCATACGTGTACGACGTGTAAATCGCACGCACGACTAGACGACAACGCGAATTAGGACCGCAAATATTATTCGGATCTGTGCGGGGCAGTCACGACGTATACGAAACGTTTCCGATATTTTCCACGGCGCGACACGGTGAATATCCAGAAATAATGCGAACACAGCGGAACGTCTATCGTGGCAGATTTGCAAAATGCACGGGGTACGCGGAATCCGAATGATATTGCTGACTCGCCAACGAAGCTGGTTCGAGCACGCGACAACCATATTATGAAACGTTCACAGTAACGTAGACGATCGACTATGACGAAGTTAATCGGTAGCCCCTTACGATCATATTAAAATACCACTCGGTTTTCTCTAAGTATTAACCTTATCGACGATTAATGCTTAATATAACGATCGACGAAACTCATTGGAATTTCTTTTCACGTACTTACATACACACAGGAAAAACAAAAAATACGCCCATCCATGCATCCACACGAACACACACGCAATGCGATCACTATCCACGCCTGTTGATTGTATTCGTGTTCCGCAGACACAACGAGTGATCCGTGGGTGGTTGAGAAACACTCGGTGAACGGCAGGCGAGGACTCGGATACCCGGGAAATGGTTAACTTAACCAGACCTATGGATTTGTGAGTATTATGTATAAATCATGAACGACAATGCCTCGGAACATGTAACGCAATAAAGTATACGAATAAGGAAGTAAAACCTTGAACTGTGTGTTGATTGTAGTTTCCTTTTGCTCCTCGTAACTTTACAGGTTATCTCGAGATACGTGGTATACATCTTGAAAGAGATGGGTCACTTGGACAAGTAAATCGAACCTACGCGATATTTTTGCTCGGGAGATCTCACTAAAGTCTATCGATCTTCCGTGGGATATATAAAACTAAAACTACACCGGTGAAAATAATCCCTACGGCTCTGACGATCCTCGTCCTTTCGCGTAGCATCGGCTGTGCAAAATGGCGCATGAACGTATTACGTGCGCGCGCTGTGTACATCATGTGTATGCATATATATATTATATACATATAATCATTCTCTCTGTTTTCTCTTTATCTAAGGTAGATTCTCTTTTTTTTCTTTATATCTGTGTGTGTGTGTGTGTGTGTACATCTACGGTTGAACAGTAGTCGGCAATGGCTGGACAGAATCGCGTTCGATGAAAGTTCATTTTTTACGTTCTTCTTTCCCGTATCGGCTCGAGGTGTCACCGGGGTTACCGTTTGCATATTTCTCCGTTTCGATCCTGTGTTTCGGTATCCTTTTTTAATCGTTCTTGTTCCTCGTCTTCTATCGAACGAAACGCAACTGGACTGTCATCGAGCGTGGATAAAAGAACTCGCTTCGTACACAAGTACACACGCATCCGATCGCGACGGGGGTGTGTGGTAGGAGTGGGGGAGGATGTGGACACCACAGGCGTGAGTTTGTACTGACTCGTGGCGTTCGCGCGAATTCGAGTACAGGTTCGCTCGTTCGAATTAATTTAGAAACGATATTTCAAGTAACAGAGAAACATATTTTATGTTTTTTAATATTTTTTGAGAGTTCAAAGAATCTAAATGAATTTACGTTTTTAGTCTTTTTTTACGAGAACCCAAAACTCTATTTTGTTCCTTTCCTTTGTGGACCCTGTACTCAATTACTCCCGTAAACAAACAAATGAACTTCTCAGCGTTCCTCGGAACTTCCGGAAGCGCCTCGTAGATCGATTACACTTCGAGCACACACTAAAAACATCTACGCTTACATACAGAGTTAGTAGAATTTCGGACTACACGCGATCCACGATCGTCGTTCCTTTCGATTCGATCTACGTGATCGAGACTTCGATGACAATTTCTAAGGTGTCCCTCGGATGTTCGTCTTTATTCGTGGACGACGCGTGTCGCGGGAAATCTACCGTTGTATCGCACTTACGAAGATGAACGACAACGCGAGAGCACAGCGACGAGAAGATCGGACGTTGATCGTGCCGCGATCAATGGATCACGAAATTGCGAAAGGTTAACGCGTCGTTCGCTGAACGCTTATCCAACAAATTCAATGTACCAAAGTTTAAATAAAGAACGAAGGAACTATATTAAAAATATAATTGGGTCTACAACGTTCTTATCATCATTACACAACCCTGGAGATGGATAAAATTCTTATCTAGATACCAATTTCGAGTATAAGATAAAAAAAAATGTTATTCGTTGAACGAAGATAACAATTTTAATTATGAAATGAATGGACAGATAAAAATTTTACGTCTACTCTTCTAACGTTATAGATTATGGACTTTAATATTTTCCCTAAACTGCGCCCTTGGGGTTCTTTTCTTCCATAGTATAATCAGTGAACTATTGTTTTCGACGAACTACGATATCCCACATTAAAGGTCTCTATTTCGTGTTTATTTATTGCACTGTACCCATAACTTCTTTCTTTTCATGCTGTTAATGCAACGCTCAGCGAATACCGCGTCATGGTCGATCCAAAGATCCCCGATGATCGAGCAAACTTTATTTTCGAACAACGAATAAAAATCGGTTAACGGATTTTAATTTACGAATGAAACCAAAATGTTCTATTCGTTGACCGGAAGTAAAGTTCATCCAACTCCGTGGACAGATACCAAGCGATCGCGACAGATCATCGTCCATCGATATTCGACACGATTTCTTTACAAACGTTCATTACAACGACAATCGTTTTATATTTGTTTTGTTTATGTTAATTTACAGCTATACATACGTTTGCATATTTATTTACCTATTTACTTTGTTCTTAGTTTGTCTTGTCTCACGACTCTGCTCGTACGTCACATTTGTACCTCTCGGTTCTACAGGTTCTGTAAAAATATTACAAATAGCCCTCTGTGGTTTCTCTGTCTAAACGAGTCGTCGTATTCGCGGATGGAGGCACAAACGTGTCCGGATTCACGGAGCGGCTTCGAGGGTCGATCACAAGCGATAAATCTTTCAGCGATCGGTTTATCGGCTGCGAGAGACAGCACCGAGAGAGGATCTACTTTCGTCCAGCCGGTTTGCCTGAACAATAAGACACTTAACAGTTGGACGATTCCCCGCGACGCGTCGGGGAATCGGCGAGTGTTTTTTTTTTCTCTTTTTATTTTTATTTCCTAAATTTCTATTTTCCGCGGTTGTTGTTCGCGTCGAGTCCTGGCCCCGTTGGGAACGATCGCGTCCACGCGTGCGCGACGAACGGGAATTACGATCAACACCATGGGGCACCAGAAACGCGTTGGTGTAAAAAATATCTCTTTTTCGTGGAACTTTGGAGAAGAGTCGTTTCGGGGTTCGGGGTGGGGCAGAGCAGACACGAGCGACAGTGAAAAGTGACAGAGGGTAAAAGACAGGTGGACGAAAATCAGCCTCTTTAGTGGTTGTACGACGAGATCGCGCGTTCGTTCGCTCTCTGGTTTGCTCGTGAAAATGCAGTCGATGAAACGGTCGGGAGCCAGGCCAGTCTGAACGATATATCGAGCACGAGCCCGAACGTCGCGATAAAATGAACGGTTCTCGAGGCGAACGACGTCGATACGCGTACGCGTTTATTAGAAAAATCATCGAACCGAAATTTGTTACACACGTCTCTCCGTTCTTCGATCCTTTAAAAACGAGAAAATGCCTTCTTCTTTCCTTTTTCTTTTCCGTTTCTTTTTTTTTTTTTTTTTTTTTTTGTTACGTCGTTATATGTCTTTCCAGCCTGTTCTCGTGAATTGTATTTTTTTTTCTTTTTTAGAATTTCTGCCTTAGAGTATTGAAGATACAAAAACTACGATAGAAAACAGAACAGACTTCGAATACCATTTGTTTCGGTTTGTCTCGCCTTCCTTCGTCTTTTTAAATTCCACATTCAACATCAACATCATTTCTTATTATTACTATCGTTTATTATTCTTGTTACGCCTATGTTATTATTATTATTGTTATTATTAGCGTCGCCCTTATACGTACATATGTATAGTTAAATTCATTCAAGCTTACCAAGTAGTTAATCCGTACGTTTACCGTATTATTAGTAACGTTTTTTTTTTTTCTTTCTTCGTATCTCTTTCTCTCTCTCTTTTTTTCTTTTGTTGTTGTTTATGATACAGATTGTCATGTTCGGCATCTCGTTGCCGTTAAAATTCCTCAGCCTCGGATACAACCTCTTCTTCTCCTCTCGTTTCTCTCGCGAAAACGCTGCTTACGATGGATCTGTTCTCTCTCTCCCTCCTCTTGCGGTCTCGTGGCAAGTAACCACGACAAAATGGCCGCGATATGCAGGTACCGGTGGCTACGACGCTGCTTTCAGCAGCGACGAACGATCGGACGCACGATCCCCTAATTATTTACTTCGTTTAATCGACTCTGAACGCACCCTCGAGTTCTTGGTGTTTCGCCTCGGAGAAGAATCCACCCTTTCTCCACCTTATTTTTTAGAACGATATGAAATTTGTGCATTACTTTTCCCCATTGGTGTTCTTCTTCTTACCGACGTATGAAACTAAGAGTCCAAACCCGCACCGAGCACCCTACAGATCGATGAAATCTTTCCCCAATCGATCCTAGCTCTCTCTTTCCCTCCATCTTCGGGATCTCAGAACGTCAGAAACCTTCCAGGAGCACCGAGCACCGACATTCCCGTCGAAAACATTCCTCTATTACGAACTAAACATTTTCTACCTCGCGCGAAAGTCGATTACAGTTTCTGTCGCGAACGTAACACGAAGTAAACTGATTATTTCCTCCCCCTCTTCGAGGAACCGCGTCCACGACTGCGTTTCAGCTCATCAAACAGTTTCGCCACGACGATGATCGAGCCTCTTTCGCGATCCATCATGATTCCGGCGTGATTACACCCTCCTGCTGAAGCTCCCCCTTCGCTCGATGCTTTCATCGCCGAACGGTTCTCGAATGGCCAAGAATATTCGCGAGATCGACGACGAAATTGTGGCGTTGAGTTTCTGGGTTTTTTCTTCTTCTTTTTCGTAACTCGAGTTTCCCTAGTTTGCGAACTCGCGATTCTCTCGATCTTCACTGTAACAATCATTTACATGCCTCAGTCGGTACTCTTCTGATTTTGCACTTCCTTCTGGAAAGACTCTACGTACGGACCGACGTTGTTGTAGGTGCCCGAGTTCGCTTGGTACATCAACGTCTCGAGGATCCTCTCGTTTCTAATCGCTTTCGACTTCAAAACGATCTGAAAAATATTTTATTCGTTACTAGGATAGTTTCTCTTGTCGACCTTATATTAGAATATTTAATAATAAAGACTTATGGAATGAAATAGAACTCCATTTCTCAGAACTCACCGCGAAACAAACCGTACAATCGCTAATAATAATATTATTAATAATATTGAACTAAATTTAAGATAGAAGTTTGAATAAACAGAACAAAATGTCCTCCCCTCTCTGCTATCCAAGACGAGGCTCACGTTTATAAGCGAATGGGGCGGTATCCTGTAGAGTTTCAGGTCTCTGCTGAGCCTCTCCATGATGCACTTGAACTCGACGTTCGAGTCCACCTTGGCGGACTTGGTCTTGATCCTGTTCTCCGCCCAGCTGAGCATCGCGGCGAACTTCTCGATCTCGCCTACCTCCAGGTCCCTGCACATGATCATCTGCACCATCGACTCGCTGAGCGTGAGGAAGCTCGAGTTCTGGAACAGTTGTCGCGCCCTCGTCTCGATGAACGCCAGGATCATGTTGACCAGCTCCGAGGCGGACGTGTACCGCCAGCAATAGTTCTCCAGCGTGCAGAGCATCACGCAGACGATCTCGATGCGTAGGAACTGTTTCGCGTGATGGAAACACGCTTGAAGAAGGTCCGGCAGGTCGTAATGCTCCGCGGCGCAGATCAGCCCGGGGATGTTGCTGCAGGTCAGCGAACAGGAACCGGTGTGCAGATAGTCGAGGAGGATCCTGAACGTCTCCGGGTCGAATTCGATTATATCGAACTGTCGAACATAGCGAAACAACTTTAGGTTGCCCCTTAACGATTGTATAAATAAAACTATCCTTGCAATAATTATTTTGCTAACATTTACAAACGATGCAATATTCATTTTACCTCTGTCTGTGCTAATTTTGCTCTGTCGACCTTTTGCGCGTCCGCGAACACGCTGAGTCTGGGCACCGCCAATTGTTGAGCAGCCTTTTCCTTCTCTTTCGCCTCTTTGTCTGCGATAAAAGAGTATTTGTTAGACACTAGACACCTTTTGCAACGAGCAATCGGTACATACTGCTGCAATCCTGCGAGCTGGCCCATCGTTTCCGGTCGTCGCTGTGCAACGTGTGGCCGCCGCCGTGTTTCCGGATGCTTCTGCTCCAGCCAGCGGTGATCGTGCCCAGCCTCGAGAACGCGCGCATCACCATCGGCGACGAGGGCACGCTTTTGGGTCTAAACAGGTCAGAGCCAGTATCTCACAGAAACCGCAGAGCGGCACCTCAAGGTACGGAAACGGGGAACCATCTTTGGGAACGTTCTTGCCAGGGACCGGGAACATGGAGGAATCGGTTCGTAAAGGTGCTGGAGATTTGGAACTTTCTGAACGCATCGAGACGAACACGAAGAAACGAACACGAGACAACGACGAAAGCACGGCCCCCCCGCCCTGTGGTTTGCAATGTCGCGACAGTTTGTTTAACAGGATGTCCAATTATTTCGAGCAGAATATTTCTGGACACCCTATGTACAGAGTTTCCAACAACGAAGTTGTACGATCGAAAAACAAGAGATTCTACGTAAAAAAGGGAATAGAAAATGGGGAATAAAATTGTTACGAGGTCTTTGAGAAAATTTATCGATTGAAATAATTTTTATTAGAAATTACAGATCATTTTGACCATTTCTGGTAGTTCTAGTATCAAAGGCACACCACCCATGTTTAACAAATGAAGCAACGTACGCAACAAATTTATTCGACATTTTCGATTAACTTTTACACGCAGAAACGCGTAAAACTCTGATCGTTTCGTTTTGTAGTACGTTTGGAATTAGCCCCGTGCGTTTGCATGCCGGTAGCCGAATCGAGATCGTTGCGATAGAAGTGAGATACCGATTTAGAGATCGTTTTCGAAAGAGCAAGGCGTACAGAGAGCACGACAGCCACGGAAAGAAGACGCAGATAGAAACTCGTACGCGACTGTTCGATCACGAAGCTGAGAAGATCTTGCAGTGTTTCGTTCCCCGAATAGAGAAGTGTACATGCGACATTTGTCATTCACAAAAGAAACGAACGAGACATCGTATTGCGAGCCTCAAGATTGCAGTTCTTCGAGCAAAATTACCGACAACTGCGAGATAAGTTTGTTACGAAAATATCATGCGGTGCTGTGAGGATAGGAGACATGGAAGTGCCGTACAAAATACACATAATTACGATTAAGTATACAATATAGAAGTACATTCGACAACGACAGGCATTTAGTCTCACCGTACGTTCCAATTTTCTTAACAAATCCGCTTCGTTACTTGGTTCGATTGTCTTTTAAACCACTCTACGGCGCACTTGTTCGAATAGTTTCGGAAGAATAGCAACGTTAACGCCAAATTTCGATTTCGATCGAATAAACATCGCGCGACAATTCTCGCGAGTAAAGACTCGAAACTCGCAGCTGGACGACGAAAATCCAGACTCCCGTTGATAGGAATTAATTATCGAGATACGAACCTTGGCGTCTCCAAGTCGGGAACTTGGAGGAAGTTCGAGCTGCGTGGTTTTTGCGGGCTGAGCAAGGTGGGCGCTGGTCTGGCGAGCAGCTCGGCGACCGGCACCTGAGGACTTCCGAAACCGGCTTGGATCCCGTACAGCATCTCTTGAAACACTCTGGAACGAATCAACGAACCGTCAGAACCCTCCACGACTCGCACGAAACGTTTCCACGCGGCTAATTATAAAAAAACTTCGACAGGTTATTTTAAATTTTGTTCATCACCTGCTTCTCACCGCCAGAATCGCCCTAACGCCTATGAACCTGACTTTCTGCTTCTGCTGACCGGGGACCAAGAACGAGACGTCAAAGAGGTTCGCGTTCACCGACGCGTTCTCCTGATTGTTCAAAAACACTTTGGTGAAGTCCTTGGCGAGCTGATCGTAGTCCTCGAACTGATCTCTGACCGAGTCCAGAAGCGGCGACGACGGTCTCATGTGACCGATCGGTCTCCAGGAACCGCGTCTGAAAATATTCATTCGACTCCTGTTGATTCGTTTACGAATCATTAATATACGAAGTACAATCCACGGGTGGCCATAAGCCCGAAACCGCAAGTGATTCGGTTTCAAACTTATTGGTCGACTGATGTATCGAGTATTGCATTATTACGGACACGTGATACCGTAATCTCTGTCTCTATTTTACCTGTATGGTTTCGGGATTTGACCGGTCTGCACGTGATTGGCCAAGTTGGCCACGATGTCCTCCAACATTTGGCTACGGGTCCTCTCTTGCATTCTCGCGAACTTCGGCGCCGAGTAACTTGCTCTCTCTCCGTTCACGATTTTCGTTAGTATCCACTCACGAAACATGGGACCTGAGCACGGAGGAACGAATAATTTAGACCTCGAGACCTATTCGTATCTATCAAGCCACTTAAAGGATCGAGAAAACAAGAAACGTGATAACGTTATTACGAATGAGAGAATAGGGAGAAGAGAATCTAAAATGTCAATTACCTTTCTCGAAGACGTTTTGCTCCCAGAGGTAGGGCTTGTAGGCTCCGACTTCGTCCCTGGTAACGACGGACACTTCGTACCTGGTGATTTTCCTTTTTATACGTGGACTGACTCGCACCAAAATGAACGTATGCAGGAAATGCGATTTTATACATGCCGGACTGAATGCAGTGTTATCAGCTTCTAGGAACACGACGCACACTATGTCGTTGCCGATGTGTCTCTTTCTTTGGAGCTACGTAACGCGAAATCATTTCTTTTCATTACACCCATACATCGTTTTAATCAGCCGTTGGCACGTTTTAATGTCTTCTATCGTGAGTAAGCGATGTCATCGAACGCTCGTGAATTTTGTTCGAGATGCCAGAGATCAAGGGATCATCGATTAAGAAATTTAACATCGAACGGTCCAATTAAATTCTTTGGGAAATTTTTTAAGAATATAAATAGTTACCGATTGAAAAAGACAACAGAACACCGATAATCGATGGACCTTTGATCTTGGCGCGTCGATCGGGAACTTTACCTTTTGAGGATCGTGCTTCTCGTAAGGCAGCAGCGTGGACACGTGGAACATGATCTCGATGCTTCTCCAGTTCGTGTAGACCGAGTACAAGCCCGTCAGGTCGTGAATGGTGTCCAAGCCACCCTTGTACTTGTCGAAACCCTTCAGTCGAACTTTGTCGCCAAGGATCTGCATGAATTCCTCGAATAGCGGCGAGTTCTCGTTGTTGTCGAGTATCTCCTCCTCGGTGTACTGGCCTTCTTGAACGTACATCACCCCGACCTTCAGTTCCGACTTGATGAACACCTGGTCCAGTTTCAGCAACTCCTCCTGGGTGTCCGGTAGCTGACCCAATGTCAGAGGTGGATTCACGTTCACTTCTTTCCCGAGACTTCGAACGACTTCCTCACGATTGTATCTACGATATACGGTTACTCGTGAAGAAATAATCCTTCGATTCCACAGGAAAATAATTCACTTCTTTCAAAGCACTTGATAGAATTTCATCGCGATTTGTAATTGTTCATATATTTTGTGATATTCGTTTTGTCGAAATGAAAATCGGAAGGATACGAGTAGACCTTACATCCAATGTATTTTTTCGGCTCTAATACATAAATAAATTTCAATGAGATACACTCACTATTGCAGAAGTTACAGTGGTTTGAAAATTTCACCATGTTGATGGGGGTTTTCTCACTTTACGGGGTTAAGGAACAACTTTTCGAACATTCATAGAATGTATAAATATTCTCCATCAAAATACGCGTTATTTGCATGTTGAAACATTAAAATCTTCCAATCCGTTCAGAAGTTATGATGTTTTAAAGATACGCATGAAATTTCAGTAGAACAGGCCAGTTTCTGGTCAGACATTCGGAAAGAAATTTTTTTCTCGAAACTGGGTAGGAATTCTGGGGTATATCTATTCACCAAAAATGATCGTAATTGACCTCTGTAATCAAAAATAATTTTTTTAGAACGATTTGAAATTTTTTAATTTTGTCGAAAACTTTCACTCCTTCTCGAATTTTTTTCTCGAAAGTGCGTAGGAATTCGGGGGTACATCTATTCACCAAAAATGATCGTAATTGGCCCCTGTAATCAAAAATAATTTTTCTAGAACGATTTGAAATTTTATTTTTTCATCGAAAAATTTAGGCACCTACACCCTGTCGATTTTACTTAAAAATTCGTTTTTGGTTTTTAATAAATTTATTTGACGCTCTTCACTCAATTTTCTGGTCTGTATGGTCAGGTCTACTCGTGTACCTCGTCTGTGCTCAAAAGTCAATTAATCGATTGGCAATCGATGAAGTGTTAAGACCGATATTAATTTTAACGATTCGTATATGAATATATATTCTCTTTGCCTAAAAGTTACTAAGAATGTTAACGAAAAGAAGATTGGCAAATGTCCATAAATATTTTATCCAGAATCCTGTGGAATAAGAATGTTTTACCGATCGGCGAAGACGCAGCTGGCAGGGATCAGGCCGTGGACAGTGTAGCTGATGGCCCTAACGAGGATCCTGAACTGATCCCGGCTGTTGAGCGTTTCCTGTTTGATGCTCAGTATCACCGGTCCGAGGTCCTCGTCGTTGGTGAAGTAATTCCAATGCTCCCTCTGGTAGAAGTACTTCTCGTAGGTCTCCTGTTCGACGGATGTGAGCTCGAATCCCTGATTTTTCTCCCATTGCTCCTCGATGGTGGTCTTCCTACGCGGCACCTCGTCGATCTCCACCTCGTTCTCCTCGTAGAAACAGTAATTGTTGTCCTGACGTCTCGGCGCTGGCTCCGGCTGGTCCTCCCCCTGCTCGAGGTCGGTGGCTTCTCCGCTCTCGCTCTCGTCCAAGATCGTGTCGGACATGATCTGCTGTCTCGAGCACTCGATCCAGTATCCAGGCGTCGGCACCAGGTTGTGCGGGAACTCTGTACAGAATTCATCTGCAACCGGAAATCGAACGAAGCGGCTTTAAACGATTCCCCGTCGTCTCTCCGCTGAAAACGTTCGCGTCTCGCGTACAATACGACGCGCTTAAATCGTTGGAAATCGATTCGTGGGGAAAACCCAATGACCAGCTGATTAATTTCCTTAAATCTAAAATTAAAAACAAGGATCCGTCGTGCGTCCCAGGAGGCTCGAAGGGTAAATCTTCGTCGTTTCTCCTTGAAAGAAGAACCGTGTGGAAAGTGTCCTCGAGGCGAAGCGTTTGTTTGGGCCACGTGTAGACGCGAGAAAATCACTGAAGCCGCTGGGGACCGTGCCACCCGACTCGAAATCATTAAGGGAGGAATCCGATCCGCGCTGAAGAGGATCTCGTCTAGCGCTAGTCCGGCGTACGGCGTCTTTCAGAGATTTTTCCTCCGTGCAACGTGACTCTCCGTCCACTTAGGCACGTATCGTCGATAATGCGTTCGCCCCCTCCTCGCCGCCACGTCACCCTTCATCGATCCCGACCTTCGACCCTTCCGTTCCTTCGGTCCCTCGCGGCCGTTAACGATACCGCGGTCGACTCACTGTAAGGTAGAACACCAAACTGTTTACAGACAGGCTTGGTATGCGAACTTAAAGTGAACCGGCCGTGGTTGCATCCCTGATTCCAAGTCGTCTTTCCATCCCTCTAATCTCGTCTCCCTCTCGCCGGAACTAATGGTCTATAGTGCTCCGTAAATTTGATCGTCGATACGGAAAGAGGGGATGGCGTTCCAGTTTCCCTGGGCTCCCTCCTTGCGTCCCCAGGATCACCAGATTCCCCTCGACGTGATAAAATAATGAAGAGAACCACGTATTCGATACGGTCGTCCCACGCCATCGGGCGACGTCCTGCTGTTGAGAACGTCCGACCAGAGGCTTTACGAGCCTCTTCCTTTTCGCCATCGAAATCTCGATCGGATACCCACGGAACTCTATTTTTCTTTTAACTTCAAAGTCACATGTTAGTAACAGCGTTAAGATATCGGTCAGATACACTTTCACGCTCGAGGGGTCCTCCGTGGGCGCCAAAAAATTAATTTTTCCATTTAATTTTTTAGAGCTCCGATCATCCGCGCCCGCGAAACGCGATTTTTAAGGGTAAGATCACTTAAAAGTATAGAAAAATGTATATGTACGACTGAGATGTAGTTGAACAAACTAGAAAAAAGAATCGTGACGTTACACGTGGCGTTTGCTTTAAAAAAAAATCAATTTTTCTATTTAGTTTTTGAGAGCTCCAATCACCTGCGCCAGCGAAACGCGATTTTTAAGGGTAAGATTACTTAAAACTCTATAGAGAAATGTAGTTAAACAAACCACAAAGAGAATCGTGGCGTTTGCTTGAAAAAAATTCATGAAAATTGCCAAATTTTCAACAAAACAGCTCCCACGAAGGAGTTCACCCCTTGAACGTAAATGATTCCTGTTGATCGCGCAAAATTAAATCAAAACTAAGCTCGTTGCAGCTACGCTCGTGTTTGATTTAATTTTTCCGCTCGATCTTCGTCGCCCCTATAAATTTCTAACGTGCAAAGTTAGACGTTTAGGTCGACGGATTTACCTCGTTTCCAGCGCGAGCTGATAAACATACTTTCTACTTGGACATGTTAGTACATCATACGGTAATTTGAATATTTACAACTATCGTTCGTAAACTTAATTCTACTTTAATACGTTTCGCTCTAAATTTCTAATATTCCCGCGGCAGATTGCGTTTTATAATTCACCGGTCCAGGTTACCTCATCCCTGTCTGATTCACACATATGCAATAAGCACCTTGCCTCGTGGTCAGTCGGCAAAATACATTATACATAGAGTCGGTTCATTTTATTTGAAATTTCCACATAATACGACGCAAGAAGCTAACATGCTAACACTCTGCTAAATAATAATTTTCTTTGGACTTCCTATAAAAAAAAAATAAATTTTACACCTTGGATGTTAAATATTCTATAAATTAGAGATATCTTCTAATTACAATCAGTCGAAACATCGTGGCAGACACTCGATGCAAGTAGAAATAAGTAGCATCGGTCAGACATCTATAGATGGACCAAACACCACTGTTATTTTACAATTTATAAAATTTCTCCAAAACATTAACATTACATTTACCTTCCTCTCCGCTCTCGTATAATTGCAAATACTTTAAATTCTTTATTATTGTGTTTGCAACGTAGAAGCCCAAAAGGGCAGAATTAGTTCCACGGTGGCTTCGACTAATCGTCGTCAGAGAATAATTTCACGCTTCGAACGAGGCTCGGTTTCATACTTTTGGTGCTACAGCGTATGTAAAGCCGTATAATCCAAGACAGGGAGAACCACCTGTAGCTTCGGCTCATACATATGCGCGTTCGTAAAAGTTGGCAAGTCGAGCGTCTCTTCCACGGCCGTTCGAACCGCGACGCGACGCGATCTCGAAGGAATCGAGACGATTCGGGGATGAAAGGGATCCGTAAATCGGCGTCGGTGATCCTACCTGAGCACGCTTGCGGCGGCAGCGGGAAGATCAGGGTCGTCGATGATTTTCTTCTCGCAACTGCGCAGCCTAAACTTTGTGGTTTGAAGCTGCGCAACTGCTGCATGAAGTCCGAGCACTCCATCAGCGTCACGTCAGCAAAGTGCAGATCGCAAAGTATTTGATTTTTGAACCTATGAACAAAGGAAATTTTTCAAAAATTTATCGCTCAAGGGGCAGTATTTATTATTTACGTATTAAATGATATATCGAAATGAATCTCTATGGGGAACAAAAATCGTAAAGTTCCTTTTTTTAACCAGTTAATAATTCTGGGTACTCTGGAATCGGCGCGAAGCAAAGTTTCATGAAAGTCGAAGCCGCTCGATAAAAAGTGAATCCGCGACGGCGTCCCGACGTCGGTCGTTATTGGATCACGCCGACCCTCTTATCTCCTTTATCATCTTTTATTATCGCGAATCCACGCGATACCAATTAAAATCGAGATTCGCGCGAAACTCTTGTCCAACTATTCCGATTGTTCGACGACCTCGCCATAGATATTTTACTCCGGCCGATCGACTCCATTTTCTACGCGTCTATAAAACTCTACGTTCCTTTTCGAAGTCGATCGATTCAATCTTTGGATAAAATAATCGAGCAATGAACGAGGCAATTTGTTACACCGTGCAGGGTATGCATAGATTGCAGTTTAAATGAAATATTCATTCACCGAGGAGATCGTAAAGTTGTGCAACCTGGATTGTTACGTAATCGACACCGATCTCATCTACACTTTTCGTTGCAACAACACGTTATTATCGACATTGTTGCATAATCGTGTCAAGGTTTACCTCACAAAGAACACGAAATTACCTTAAAAAAAATCGAAGGAAAAATATATCTACCGATCTATCGGATTTTTTAAACATTTGTCGTTGTTGAGTTACGTAGTGCGTATTTACGATCGGAATAATAACGAAACCAACTGGAGGCGTTCTCTTCGGGGCGCGCGACGAACTGTAAATCGAGTTACCTGCCTTCGTCGTATCGCGGATCTTGAATAAAACAGAAATGCAAAACGACTTTTCGTTGCGCTGATTGAAATCACCGCCGGCGCGACGATGCATCTCGAACGGTTACGATCGCGAGTGTTTTAACTGATTGAATCGCGCGTACAAGTTGCCGTGACGTTTCGCTCCGATGGAAAATCCGACGATCGAACGAGATCGAGGACGTTTCTCAAGAAAGATTCGACCTCGATCCCTTCGACGGTTTCGAAAAATCCAGAATCGCCAATGTGATGCATCGTAGGGTGTAAAAAATCCTCTCTTCGATGAATCTTTGAATAAATTTAAAAGATTGAAAGATCGACTTCGTTTTTTGACTCAAAACGATCGAAGGATGGGTTAAGTTTCAACCCCTGAACACGATTTTAATTTTGTTGTAGCAACGAGTATAATAAAATGGCGACTTTCTCGATCAAGCGTACGTTTTTCTGGCTTGTCAACATACTTTCCGCGGCGAGTGTAAATGTTGCGTTTTCTCCCCGAGCGGCGAATAACGGACGGACGTTTATTGCGAGACCGTTGGCCAGTATTTTCTTCATAAATAGGAAATTAAAGCGGCAGCCGGACGAAATTACGGGGCACGTCCGTTCCGTAGAAAATACAGGGGACGCGATTCGACCGCGTATGCAACCAGAATCGCTACGATTTTCTCTACTCACCGTCTAGCCCGTTTCTGATTGGGTCCGGTGAGATTCAGGCCGCAGCTGTTACATTTTAGGCATTCCTCGTGGTAGTGATTGTTGTCGTACAACGGAGATGGCTCTTGAAACAACAAACGCAAGCACGAAGTTTAATCATCTCGTAAATATTTGTTGCAGACTCGATTAAAGTTGCTCCCGCTCAGGGGGGGGCGAAACAATTTTAACCCCCTCGGATCGATGAAACCTACGGGCGTCCCTTTCTCGATTATAAATGCGAAATCCCTTCGAAAAATCACGAGGATACTACTTTAAATCTTTTTCAACATCGAACGCAGAAAGAAACAGTAAAAATGGAGGAATGGTTCATAAAATCGAAACAAAGATCCTGCAACTTTGACGTCAGTTTCTACTAAAATCTGAAGTCTAAAAAAACCTGAATTTATTAATAATTCCACAATTTCTTATCCAATAAAAGATAGACAATTTCAGAAATATTTCAGAAGCGAACGAGTTAAGACTACACGATCGAACGAATCGCTGGATCGGAGTTTCTCTCTCGTTGGAATGAAATCGTGGCCGCCTCAGTTCCGTTGGAAATGGGTTTTCCTTCGGTCCCAATTTCCCCTGGACAGTCGCGTCCCCCCCATCGATCAATTTCGAGGCCACCGGTCGCCGGGCCAGAGTCACGACGCGTCCCAGGAGTTCGATCGGGCTTCTTTCGAGAGCCCCCGATCGCCACTTTTCTCCCTTTCCGTCCGTGTTTTATACTTAACGACCTCTCGAGCCCGCGTCGTCGAGGGGTGTGGTCCGTTCTCTCGTGACGCCGCCGTGGGGGCCATAAAGAATTCCAGCGCGTGCTGAGCACGGAATTTTGATATCGCGGCGAGTGCCTGGCGTCGCGGCGCCGACACCGTCGAGGGAACAACGCCGCGTCGAGTTTTCGTGACCGTAGGCACGTCTAATTGCGCGCAAGCACGCAGCCACGTTCTCGATTCAGATGTCTTGCAATGTGTTCCCCACCCACCCCCTTACCACCACCAAAACGAATTACTCTTATCGTATGCTAATACTGCCTTTGCACACGATAGTTCGATGTTTACGAGGACACCCGGTGAACTGCCTCAATTTTCCCTACGTCTAACGCTCCATTTTGTCACTTTTACTCTGACATATATTTATTTATTTATTTATTTATTTATTTAGGGGTATGCATCCTTTGATGAGAAGTAAATTTACGGGCATTGATCGCATATTCGCTTATATTTATTGATACCTTTCATGTTGACGACTACCTTACAATACGATTTTTCTTTTAATTAAAATTCAACGTAAGCTGTTAAAAAATAATATTTACGCGTTCTGCAATTTTAAATATGGAGTCAGACATCCGTCGAATTGACGGCTTCCGTAAATCTAGTGCTAATCTCGTATGTTTAGAGCGACGTGCTTTTAAAGAAATGTTTACTAAAATATTCTGGTTCGTGCACAGGTAATGCAATGTTCTATAAAACGGGCGATACTACTGCAAATAAGTTGCCTGGATTCGAGGGAAACTGAATAATACGTTGGTTGGAAAGAATTGTTAGGGGAAAGGGTGGAGCGCGTAGTTCAAGATCCTCCATCTCGAATAACGAAGTTGCATCGAGCGGATCACGTAACCGCCTTTCGGGGAAACCAATTACATTAATCTGACTATGATTCGCGGAACGGAAAGTTTACATCGAGAACCGTGCAACGGCCGTTACGAAATAAAGGGTATCGCGAGCGGGAAATCCCCGTTTCGAAATAACGAATCGTCCATTAAACGGTGCGGGGGAATTTTCCTTTTCGACCGAGAGCAATTGCATTACACGCGAACTGGGAGAAGCCGCTCGGAACAGGAAATTGTTAATGCAAAGCGTCGAGGGATCGTAGACCGGCGGTTTAATCGATACGACCATTAGAAGAAAATTAAGTATTACGTGGAGCCCGGCTCTTTGTCGCGTTTCTTTGGCACGCCCACGGTTACGAGCACACACAGAGGGATGCACACTTCGGTGCAAGGGTTAACGCTCTCGCGAGCCAGGAAGTGAACTTCACGCGCTGATTCCGCGATAAACGAGATAAAATTCGAGGCTTCGCGAAAGGGGTCCGCGACAAAGCCCGATTAATTAAGATCTCTCGCGCGGATAATGAAATGCGACGGAGCAACGGTGACGGTGGTTTTCTAGTTCGCTCTTTCATGAATATAAATAGAATGCACCTTTCTGCGTACGAACGAAAAATATGTTCCCCGCTCAGCGACCACGATTTTTATTTTACCTTTGCTCGAACGGGGCGCTTATTTTTCGTTCGATATCCGTGCACGCGGATAAGAATTTCGTCCATCTCCGGCCGGCAGTTTCGTACCTCGAATCGCCGGCCATAGCGATCGTAAAGTTTGAATAATATCCCGAAGTTGCCCCTTTTCCCGCGACCAGCGCAAGACTAACGGCGAAAACGCGCATTTTATCGCCTTCGATCTCGAACGGGACTACCGGAAAATAGTCGTAATTTTCCCCCGCTGTCGGGAAATAAATATCGAAACGTGTTTCAAGACCGTCGAAATCCACGGAAGCTGCTGTAAAATCAAAACAACGAACCTTTGATTTAAAAAAAAAAAAAGATATATTGAAAGTATCTTGAGAACCTTTCTCTGATAAATAAAAATTGAAGAAATTTGTTCTCAAGGCGAGGTACAAATTTCCAACGAGTGAAAGTTTCGAGAATTAGGTCTGTGGCAATTAGAGGGTGAAACAATAATTTGTAAGCGTTGTTTCATCTTCTCACAACTGGAATTCGGTTGTTTAATAAACGAAACCAGTGTAGATGATTAGATTTGTGGCAGGTAGGCTTTAAGGTGCGTACAAAATATTATTTCGTCGCGTGAAAAGTAAAACAATAATTTTGAGCGTTGTTTCGTCTCCCCACAACTGGAATCCGGTTGTTTAACAAACGTAGTCATGTAGATCTGTGGTAGACAGGCGTTAAGGGACGTACAAAATTGTGTTTCGACGTGTTAGATATCGAAATAGAGAGTGAAACAATAATTTTGAGCGTTGTTTCATTCTCCCACAACTGGAATCCGGTTGTTTAATGAACAAAGCCGGTGTAGATGATTAGATCTGAAGCAGGTAGGCATTAACGTGCGTACAAAATAGTATTTCGTCGCGTTAAGAGTAAAACAATAATTTTGAGCGTTGTTTCGTCTCCCCACAACTGGAATCCGGTTGTTCAACAAACATAGTCCATGTAGATCTGTGATAGACAGATTAAGGCACGTACAAAATTGTGTTTCGTCGTGTTAGATATCGAAATAGAGAGTGAAACAATAATTCTGAGCGTTGTTTCGTCCTCCCACAGCAGGAATCCGGTTATTTAACGGACGTAGTGGGTGTAAGTCGTCGGTGAACAACGCTGGACACGCCCGATCGCGAGTTCCCGCGAGTGAAACGAGAAAGAAGAAGTTACGAGGCAGGAGCACGCGCCCCGCGATAGGAAGCCCGGTTTTTATCGGTGCTTTAACCTCGACTTGCTCTCTCTTTCCACGCGTGGCAACCTGGCCACCTGGCTTATCCGGCGTCTGAAAACGGCTCGTAAAAAGAGCTCGAACGGGAATCGGGAAAAAAGGAAACGAAATAGAGAAAAGGGAAACACGTTGGATTTTCGCGCGGACGTCGTCCCTGGGAAATTGAAGCGGCAGATGCAATTAGAACCGTGCCCGCCGCGTGAAACGCAATTAGACGCGAATTCACGTCTGTCTCCCGCGACTGGCCCCCGCTGATTCACCGGAAACGGTTCTTTCGCGACTTCGATACGCGATTTCCTGACGCGTACGAATCATTGCCGTGATTTACTCGCGTCAGATACGCTCAAACTAACTATTGAGCGAGATTCGACTCTGCAACGAAGAAAATATCAAGTGTTTTATGGAATGGAAATAGTTATTCCTATGAACTCAGCGTTTTGAATCATTAAGAATCGTTGATGTTTTCAAAATGAGCCTTCCTCCGTAATCTGTCACAAAATGTAAAGTTTATACCGTCATGTAATAAATTCAATACGAGTCGATCGGTGTTTTGTCGTGTACAGTAAATCCTGATTAATGTTTCCAATTATTGTGACGTTCCTGAGCCCTTCAGTTTTCTTGAAATATGTCCTGCATAACATTTGTCACGCCCCGGGCGATCAATCGCGTAAACGATATCCGAGTATAACAAAGTATCCGTCTGTGGCGGAGTCCATTTTTAGGAAATTCAAGTTCTCTCGGTAGAACAAAGTGGAAAGAAAAAATTTACGAAACTCGATACGCTTGAAACTTTTCAGGGACCAATTGTCAAAGTGATCCAAGCTGATTTCTATCGCGATCACGCGTTCTATTCTAAGCAGGACCCGCAATTTCGAACACAATTACGCCACCGATGTTGACCCTCGTTATCGTTTCGCACTTAACCAACGACGCTCGATGGTCGTGTCGGTCGTTTAGCGTAATTCCTTGTTCAAGAAAATCGCGACGATCGAGACCAGACACGGGGCGCGACCGCGATCCGGGAAAGTTTTAAACCGTCCGCGTTACGTAAAAGAAGAGAGAAAAAAAACTGGCAATTAGGACGTTTCTGGCAATAATGGGACGGCCGCGGATCGATCACGGGCGAATCAAGTTGGCGTGTTAGATCGGAATTAGTAATGAATGCGGCTGCGTTGTCGAGAATTAATGACGGAAGACAGACGGGAGGGTGCACGGGGGCTGAATTTATCGAAACTAATGAAATTCCTGGAATTGCGGGACGTTGGCGATTACGGCCACGTCCCGTGAAAATGATAATTATTCTTGGGGCCAGTTATTGCCGCCGACGAATTCCTCGACGCGTACCGCGAACGAAAAAACCGATGAAGTCAATTATAACAGATTTGCCCGGCCATCGAGTCGACGCCGTTGCTGTCCTCGTTCAGATTTTACGCGGACGATATTTTCTATCTTAACATTTTTCGCGCGAGAATTTAATAATATGAAATTTCCAAAATGATACACCTAAATTTTGCACTGCAATCAGCTCCTAATAGTTGGAAATATATCGAATATGTGGGAGTAGGTTACAAACG